TGACCTCATGATCCGCCCTTCTTAAGCATGGAATGAGATTTTCACTTAGAGCAGCTGTGAGGCAAAAATTTCAGAATAGAGGCCAAATATATTCAAGGAAAGTTGTCCTGATGTCCAAAAAGAAATCAAAATCACTTTTATCCCTAAGATAATTTTTAAATGAATGTTGGTAAGTGCTAAGAAGATGGTGTGAGGGAGCCTGGGCTGGGCGGGGGAGGCGGGGTGCCCGGGTGAAGCCCTCACTAGGAAGGTACCATTGGTGTGCAGACCAACCCACATGAGGCAGCTAGACTTCAGGTACCAGAAAGGAAAAAATAACAGGCAGAGGAAAGGGCAGAGCCAAAGGCACTGAGGCAGGAATGGCGTGTGCCTCTCAGGCCTGCTCAGCCACAGCAAGGAAGCAGGAAGGGCTGAGGTCAGAGAGGCAGGAGTGAGTCCCAGCGACCTCTGCAGGTCTCTGGAAGGACATGGTTCTTCCACACAGGAGGGCTTTGAGCACAAGAGTGACCTGATTTCACTGAGATGTTAACACTGCTCTAGCCGCAGTGTTCAGAACAGACTGAAGAGCAGCAGAGTGGAAGGAAGGAGAATGGGCAGGATGAGGCTGTTTGAATCAAGTCCAGAGTGGATGGGGCCTGAAGGAGGACAGGAGCAGTGCAGGTACTCATCCCAGATCCTGGGGGCCAGATTTGTTTGGGAATTCTGGATTTTTCAAGTTTTAGAAGGAAATACAGCACCTAAAGTAGTGAGAAATGAATCCCATACTGCTTATTTTGTGTTGCCTCCATCTAAAATCAAGGAGAAAGAGAGCAAATGAAATAGAAGAAAATAATCCTCTGCAATTTTTACTTTTCTAAAGTAAAACACATGTTCCTACTTTAAAGCACATTTTCCGTTTCTATCTGGTACATGTTGACACTTTCATCTTTGACAAAAATCCTTGGTAAGTCACAACAGCCTGGGTTTTCTCACTCATGCGTCCTCCCCCTCCTCATCTTTTTTGTTTCCTTTTTCTACTCTGGCAGGGAAGCACAGAGCAAGGAGGAAAAAAGGACAAGGAGGAAGAAGATTTGGCAAGAGACAAAGGGAGAACTGCTGCCATGCAGACAGAGAGGAAGCACTTGTTGACAGGGAGCGGGGTAGGCCAAGAATGAAGATTGGGAGGAAGGTAAGACAAACCCAGAAATGACTCTTCCGCTCTTAGCTCTGAGCTCTGAGGTCCCTTGTACTCCAGGCTTTGAGGACTAAAAAAGGATGGGGAAATGATTTAGAAATAGTCTGATTTTCCATGTTCTGAGTTGAATAAAGTGCCAGAGCCATGCCGGGTATCAGTTAGAATAGGAGAAATGGGGCTGGTTATGAGTCCACAAAGAACAGTGCAAGTTCATCCATCTGGCCTTTATGCTTAAAACGCAGGGTGGCCCCACATCTGCAGCCACCGTAAGTAACCTGTATGTCTCCAGGTTCGACGTAGTAAGAGGGGACTGTAGACTGGTGAGAAGCTTATAGAAAATATTCCTTCACCTCTGCCAGACCCTGCTGCTGCTCCAAACTGCCTTGCATCTCAGTTTTTCTTTCCCTTTTCCTTTCCCTTTCCTCTTTCTTCTTTATCTCTCCTTAAGTTCAAGAAGTCACTTAGGGTTGAGGTAAGATAAATAATGAAAAAGTGGGGAAAATACGAAGAAATGAATGTTGCCCCAGCTTAAGATATTTAAGAACAAAAATCCTAAATCAGGCAATACTATAAAAAATAAACAAATGTTAGATGCACAAAATGGAAAACGTATTGTCACTGAACAATAATTTTTTTTTTTTTTTTTTGAGACAGAGTTTCTCTCTTGTTGCCCAGGCTGGAGTGCAACGGCGCAATATCGGCTCACCACAACCTCCGCCTCCCGGGTTCAAGGGATTCTCCTGCCTCAGCCTCCCGAGTAGCTGGGATTACAGGCATGCGCCACCACACCCAGCTAATTTTGTATTTTTAGTACAGATGAAGTTTCCTCATGTTGGTCCGACTGGTCTCAAACTCCTGACCTCAGGTGATCCACCCGCCTTGGCCTCCCAAAGTGCTAGGATTACAGATGTGAGCCACTGTGCCTGGCCAACAATACATTTTTGTTGCCGGTAGGGTAAGCACACTAGTGGGGTTAGGGAGGGCTGAGCTTGTAGTGGCAGAGGCTGGGCAGTCAGATTCCTCTTACCTGATTTAAGTGCTAAGGAGGACAGATTTACTCTACACAGCAGTAGACTCCATCAGTATAAAATGTGGTGTGTATATTCTTAATATATATATAGTTTATCTGTTAATAAACTATATATATATTTACTGTGCTAATGTATTATTTATATTATAAATATCAGAAAAATAAAATGTAAAAGGATAGAATTCTAATGTTGTCTTCTTAAATACCCACATGGGACAACTATTGCTTTCCTTAATGAAATGACAAGAGGCATCTGGGGTAGGGAAGAAGAGATATATCCTAACAAAAAAATAAAGAAGTTCCTTAGACAAAAAGGTGGGAAAATGCTGAATTCACCAAGTTAAGTGGATGCATTCTTTGCCTCAGAACTTCTCACAGAGCCTTTTGTATGTACATTTCTAGAGGGAGTGAGTTCCGAGGTGTTCCCCACTCTTTTTAGGCTCCAGAATGCTCTTTCGAAGAAACATTTTGGGAAACCAGTTTCCCACAGAACACAGTGTGGGAAAAGCTGATCTAAACTCATTTTCTCCATCCACTTAGAGTGTGTGCTTCCCAGTGCTGTGTAGCTAAACTTCTGTCCAACTGATGGAAACTGTTTTGATAATGCAACCTCATAAGAGACTGAATCAGAACCACCCAGCAAAGTCACTTGCAGGTTCCTGGCCCTGAGAAACATATAAGACAATAAATGTTTGCTATTTTAAGCTGCTAGCTTCAGGAATAATTTGTTATACAGCAATAGGTAGCTAATACATCCCATAAATTTCATGCATGAATATATCTTAATGTCTTATCCTTTCTTTTTGACCAATGATTCATGTGGCATTTTTATTTCATTTTAAGCATTTAATTGTGAGGATTATAGTAGGAAATCCAATTCCCTCAGGTTATACTGTAAAAGATGAAAGCAGTTTCGGAAAGCTCCAAGTTTGAAAGCATATAATATCGGAGGCAGGAGGGTCGCCTAGGGCAGTCAGCAGGTAGGGAACATTTTCTACTATTACTTCTACTTTGGTAATTGTCTGCTTTCCATTCTCTTTGTTCTTGCCTCCTGGGACTCCTGAATAGTAGAATATTAATAACATCTCTCCTTCACATCTCTTAGCTCTTGCGAGCTGTGGTTTCATTCCAGTGAGCTTTCTATGTCAATGAACTCCAGTCTGTATTTCATGATTCAATGAACAAAGGTGGAAGGAAATGAGGTTCCACCTTGTTCAAGGGGGAAAAAAAAGCAACCTAAGTTGTGACATCACCAAATCCAAGAGAAGCAGCATCCAAAGAATATCTTCAAATTCATTGAGAGGACGAATCAGATAAAAATAAATAAAGAATTCCAGGATATGGCACAACAGTAACCATGTAGAGAAAAGCAGTTTTATAGGACAGGTAGAGAGGAAAAAATCGATCAAATAAAGACTGAAAAGTGAGGAAATGGAGACGCCTATTTTAGTAGACTTGCTGTGTAGGAAAGGAGAGGAATAAAATGGTTTTCTGAAAAGGTACATGACATCAAAAGGGAATCCAGAGTAGTTTTTTAAGATAGGGACTATTATTATGCCCTGTATGCTTATGAGGGTCATTCAAAAGAACTTGATAAATTAAAGATGCAGGAAAAAAGAGAAAATCATTATAAAAATGTTATCTGTAAGAAGGCCAGAATGGATGGGACCCTAAATAGTAGAGATATTTGCTTTTGATGCAAACAGCGACATCTCTAAAAAGATAATAGAAAAGAAGGTAAAGAATGTGAGCTAATATACAGGTAGGTTAGTGGATTTGGTGGCAGGAAGGTAAGACCTTCCGCTCTCAAGCAGACCTGTTATTTTTCTCCAAGTATGTTCAGCTGCTGCAAGGGTGGAAAAGGCAGAGTCAGATTTACACAGGGCTGGGGTTTTACCAGGAGAGTTCTACTGAGTGGGGAAGATAAAGGAAGTTTGCAACCACATGACTTTAGTGATGGGTAACAAATCAATGATCTTAACATGGGAGAAGAATTGTTGATTAGAGTGGACGTGCTACAGTAAATTAGACAGAAAGATAAAAATGCTTATCAGATCTAGCATGCTTGAAGCCAAGATGTCAAAGCTGTGCAATTACTGGTGACAATCCTTGGAAATTAGAAAGTCAAGGAACTGAGAGGCTCAGAGTGTTGTGTTGTTCAGCAAATGAATAGTAAAGTCTCCCAGAATGATGAGGAAACTGGTGAAGAGGAAGACTATGAACAAAGTGTGAAAGTCCTAAGTGATAAAGAGGTTTAAATCATGATGGGGGAAAAAAAAAAAAGAGGAGGAGTATCTATGGTATAGTCACACAACAAGAACTTCAACAGGGATTCATTTTTGATGGAGAAAGGAGTAGAAATTATTTGGATGCTGCCCTGGGCAACAAACAGGGCAGCTAAATCACTTCCTGCCAGCTTGTGATTGGTGGACTACGGGCTTCCTCGTGAGAGTGCAGAAAGGAATGGGTATCCTTGGCGGTTAGGTTGTTTTTAATCAGGGCCATAAGTTAAAGGAACAATCAGAGACCAACTTAAGTTCATAAAGGAGTTTGCTAAATAATGGACCATGAGTTCCAAAGGGCATGGTAGAAGCATTTCGAAGGGCAGAGAAGGCGGATAGGTTTATTAGTCCATTCTCACATTGCAATAAAAAAAATCTGAGACTGATTAATTTATAAGGAAAGAGGTTTAATTGGCTCATGGTTCTGCAGGTGAACAGGAAGCATAGCAGCTTCAGCTTCTGGGAAGGCCTCAGGAAGCTTCCAATCATGGCAGAAGGCAAAGGGGGTGCAAGACGTCTTACGTGGTAGGAGCAGGAGCAAGAAAGAGAAGGCGGAGGCGAAGGGGTGTTGCCACACGCTTTTAAACAACCAGATCTCATGAAAACTTGCTCACTATCATAAGAACAGTACCAAGGGGGGATGGTGCTAAACCATTCATGAGAAATCCACCCCCATGATCCAAACACCCCCCACAAGGCCCCACTTCCAACACTGGGGATTACAGTTCGACATGAGATTTGATGGGACACAGATCCAAACCACATCAGTAGGAGATTGATTCAAATTAAGGGATGAACTGAGCAGGGCAGGGAGGAGAATATGGGTAATAATAAAAGGCTGGGATGCTTAAACTATTAGAGATTAGAAGGCGGTAAAGAGGTATTGAAGATATTTTGGGATACATCCTGCTCATAAAGAATGGTGGGAAATCTAAGATATGGTCCAGACACTTTAGTTAGAAAACACGGTACAATGGGGCAATGGGGCAACTGCTCATTCCTAGAACAGGTGAAGGGTGGTAATGAAGCAAACAAAAGACAGGAATAAGCATTTGAACATTTGTTAGAACATGAAAAAACATACTCTATTAAAATGAAAATGAGCGTGCCTTTTCACTCAGCAAGTTTACGTTTTGATAGTAACTGCATTGCACACAAACTATGAGAACAACTTCAGTAGCCAACTTTTCTCATGAATGTATACACCAGTGAAGAGCTCAGTCCATTTACTTCCTATATTGCTTGTCTGACAAAATCCTCCCTTAAACATTGAGTGGTGAGATGGAGTTGAAATAGTTTTATCTCAAACACATATGTCAGCTACAGAATCCAGAATGTAACAAAAAAATAGAGTGTTAACAAGCATACACACCAAAAAAAATCTATGTGGTAAAAATGAATGGGAAAAGGAAACAGAAAATTAGATATAAGCATGGAATAATTAAATTATAGAGTTTTATTGTGAAAAACCACTTGATTGCCAATGTAATCCAATTGTTTGGTTCCATTATGTAATTTTATAGCATTCTCATGATTTATGAGATAAATAGCAGCAGCAATGGCAGCAAAAATAGAGTATTTCAGAAGTAATATCAGTAGAGCAGAAGTGACTCAGTTGAAAAAATATTGACAGTTATCACAAGGATAAACAGAGCAGTGACAACGAACATCAATTATTTTACAAGAAAAATTCTTCTACTGGCAGATAAAAATCTCTTAGTAACCACCGGCAAATGGGTTCTCAGCAATTTTCTTCTAAAGCACTTTCAGGACATTCATTAGAAACAGAAAGAATCAGAGGAAAAATCATAGATTGTCAAGGTAATAATATAAAGTTAAAGGACTTCTGTCAAGGTTCAGTCTATTGTTTTAAATAAATTCATTATGGCCTAGAATCCAACAACATAAACCTAAAATATCCTGTCTGCATTAATTTATTCTTTGAATGCAGTCTACATTGCTTTCAGGGGAAGACTACGGATCATTACCAACCTTGTCATCTTTCTCTTTACCAACCTTTTTGACTATGCATTTCTGAGGGACATGTACTGCTAATTAATATCGCAAAGAATAACTATGATAGATGCAGAAGTCACCCTGTAAAAACTCAGTTCATCACAGAAATTCATGAGGATTATGCAGTCAACAGAATAAACACTGCACACTGGATAACTTTATATTTGTATATAGGTTTATATACATATATACATACTATATGTGTATACATACACATACACTCACATGAAAGCACATATGCTGCTTGCTCTCCATATATTCTGAGGCAAACGTAAGGAATGCTGGAGGCAGTTTTAGGTCCAGAGTGAAGGTTAGGGATTTGTTAAAAGCCTGTGATGTGGAGGCTCTTCTACAATTTGTTTTTTAAAATGCATCCCTGGGCTTGTGCCAGGCCCTGTTTTCACAAAAACCTACTTCCAGGAGGGGTCCTGCTTCCAGGAGGGGACCTGCTTCCAAGATGGTTCCCTCCTGCACACAGCTCCCTGCCTGGATCTCCACTCAGCCTCATACCTGCAAGAAGGGCAAGAGGGCAAGAAGGAGAAAACCACAGCCAAGATGGAGAAGGTGTGCAAGCACTCAGGGGAGAAGGAAAATTCGAAGCTCTAATAACCCATTTCCAGGCACCAGATGTTAAAAAGACTCAGATTATAGAAACATCATGTTCCTCACCTTCACCAGGACTAAATGTGTCATTCTCTGCTCATCCTGAAAACAATGAATTGATCCTTTTTGGAGGTGAATATTTTAATAGCAAAAAAACTTGCTTACATAACCACCTCTATATCTACAATACCAGAAAGGACACCTGGATTAAAGTCAAAATTCCCAATTCACTTCTGGGGCACTGTGCTCTCCAGGCTGTGGTGGTGCATTGATGTGACAGACAGGTTATGAGTGTTTGCAAGGGAGCTTGCTTCTCCTGATGGACAGCAGTTCTACCATCACAAGGATCTCTGTGTCCTGTATCTGGCCACCAAAACCTGGGAGCTAGATGAATCAACAGGGCCTCGTTTTGATCACAGTGGACAGCAGACAGTAGCCTGGAAGACACAGCTAGTTCTTTTTGGTGGTTTTCACGAGAGTAATGTTTTAAACCCATTATTGAATTCTAGGATGGCATTATACAATTGTCTCAAAATCTATCAAGAATACATTTCTAGAGCCTTGGATTAATATTTGGGTGTGCATCTATTGGGCTGCAAATAATTACATAGACTTGAATTAATATAAATTCTGTTTACTCCTATTTTTTGTTTCCTACATATTTTCTTACATAGAATCAGGGATTCCTGAAACCACATAGTAAGGTATTGGCAAAAACCTAACCAAACAGATCATGAATATTTTATTGAATATAAAGGACTTTACGTTCTTGTTCATGTTTACGTTTACTTGCAATACATTTAGACTCACTTTTTCCCAGAAATTCATAGCTTAAATAGGTGGATTCTCTCATTAATTTCAAAAGAGAACAATTAGACCAGAGGGGTGTTAGTAGGGTCTGTGTATACAAAAGAGTAGTAAGCAGATGAAAAAGAAACAAGGAAGGTCTTCAAAATGTATAAGTGAAAAATATAAGTAAAGTCTCCAAAATGAAATAAGTGGAAAAAAAAAAAAAATCAAAGTGAGGAATGGTGTGTATAGTAGGCCACCTTTGCTGTAAAAAATGCAAATTGAACATGTTGTTTCTAAACTATATTTGGAAATGTAAATGGTCAAGAATAGTTAAGGCCAAGGCCTATGATAAAGCTAAAATAATTAAGAGAGATGTTGCTAGCACTAAAGTGGATAAATAGGTAAAAATGAGAATAACCATTTCAGTAAGTGGTGCTGGGTTAACCACAGGGAAAAAAATAACAAAACTTCATCCCACCAGATTGATAAAAAGTAAGTATGAAGGTAAGAAAACAATAAGAGAACACCCTCATATCCCTAAGATAAGCAAATATTTCTTAAAAGAACACAAAAATCACTAGCTATAAAGGAAAACAAACTGAGAAATTACTAAGCTCTATTATGATGAAGAACGTCTGTTCCTCAAAAGAAACCATTAAGGATAGAAAAGGCCAGCCACGGAATGGGAGAAAAATATATGCAATAAATATATCCAACAAAGGACTTTCAGGCCAAAAATATAAAGAACTCGTGCAAGTCAGTAAGACAAAGATCTAACAGTAACAATCGAAAATGAATAAAGGATTTTCTTCTTGTGAAGAACAGACACTTCACAAATTATACAAATAGCAATAAGCATGAAAAAACCTCATTAGTTATCAAACAAATACAAAGTAAAACCCCAATGTGATATACCATTACATAAGTACTATTATTGCTATAATAGAAAAGGCATTAAATATCAAATGTTAGGGAGAATGTGTAGCAAATGAAATTTTCATACTTTACTGGTGGGAGTGCAATTCTACTCCTAAGTATATACGCAAGAGAAATGCTTACATTTGTTCACCATATTGCAAGTATAAGAATGTTAAAAGAAGCACATCCTAAAATGGGTACCATTAATTATAGGTTAAAATTATTGTATATTCACATAAAGTCATACTATAAACCAATGAGAATGAGTGAACTATTGCTATACACAGCAGCATAAATAACTCAGGCAAATAATGTTCGGCAAAAGAAACTCGATAGAAACACATACTGTAAGATTCCATTCACCGAAAGTTTAAAAAATTGGTATACTAATGCTTGGTGTAAGAAGTCAACAGTGGCTTCTAAAAAGGCAGGGATGGGGGGATGGGGAGGTGGAGGGAGGACGGTTACAACAAGAAGCAAAGAGGGGGCTTCTGGGTTTTCTCATTTGCTTTTTAATGTTTTCTCATTTGCTTTTATGGGTCTGTTCATTTTGCAAAAATCCATTGAGCTATACACTTACTATTTGTGCATTTCTCTGTATGCCATTTTATATGTCAATTTAAAAGTTTAACAACAAAAAAAGGCAAAGGAATCAAATTGAAAGTGCCTTCACTGATCAAGAATGGGTCAATGAGAACATCAGAAAGGATAGGGTCAGCAATGTATTGAAATACATTAAATTTTTTAAAATCCAGGAATTTACACTCAAACTAGAAAAAAATTATTGTTTACCTTTGGAGATAGTTAAGACAGCAAGTTACTATTTAAAAAATCTGGTAAAATAAAAACAAATAATAAAGCCTTATCCTGCATTTCCTATGTGAATTACACTTAAGAGTAATCAAATAGTTGTTGTGAGAACATTTTCCTTAGTTGAAGAATTCCAGATAATAAATGTAAAGGAATAATAGAATTCAAAAGTTACCATTCTTCAACCTGTAACAAAATAATGGTATGTATCTGCTGATGCAATAAGAAGCAAATGGCATCACCTAAATGAGTCTGAAAACAATCAGCTCTCTGTCTCTAATGCCAGTTTATAGGAAATAGAGGGAATGGAAGAACACGGTAAATGAATCCCAAGGATGTAATCAGCCACATTTAGCATGTGGAAAATCAACCGGACAAATGACTTGTTTTTTTTAAAAAACCATAGGAGAACAGGTAAGAGGCCTGACTGTTATACATGGAAACTTAAAGAATATATCAATCAAATCAATTTGTGAACTTATTGGGATCTTCATTCAAAGAAACCAACTATAAAAGACATGTTTAGATAATCAAGAAAATTTAACATAGAAAGGATATTAGCTATCATTAAAGCATTATTGTTAATGTTTTGTAGCTCTGTGTTTTCAAAGTCATTATTTTTAAGAGATATTATTGAATTATTTGTGGGTGAAATAACGTGCTTGATATTTGCTTCAAAAAACTTCAGCAAAGGAAAGAGGCAGTGACACATGAAGCAGAATGACCCAATTGTTGATCATCATTGGTCCTCTGTGGGTCACATAATCACAGTGGCTCACTCGTGATTATGTTTAAAATAGACTTCATACATAAAAACTTACCCCGTCCTTAGCTTTCACCAGGAGATCATAGGTAGCAGGATCCCTTTCCCTGTCGATATCTTGAGAAACACAGATTCGCCCATCATGAGGGTCGATCCGGAATGCCTGAGGTGCTTCATAGCTCAGAAATCCATCATAAAGAGAATACTCAATAAAGCCATAGAGTCCTGAATCTGCATCAGAGGCTGTCACCTATGAGACAGGAGGGTGATCGGGAGGAAATAGAAATGCTAGCATTACTTTTCAGTTAGTCATGAATTATTGCAATAATTTTCACAACCACATGACCCCCATAGCTATTCACAAAGCCTAGGCTTTGGTTTTATATCTCTCTCCTCGCTTACCTTCTGTGATAATTCCCCCTTCACTTTTCTCCTTTCTTTGTGAGTTCTCCTTTTCAATATCTTTTGCCCACTCATATCTTTTCAGATGATCTATGAAAGTTTGAGGTCCTTAGGGCTCAGCCCTATGTTCTTTTGTCTTCTTATTTCATTCACTATACGTAACTAATCTCATCCAATCTCAAAGATTTAAGAATACCCATAGGATTAAGAACCTGACAGCCAAGCTGTTGATTCCCTCTCATACCTAGGCCTTCAAGTGATAGCCTTGATGCCCCCCACCTTTGAGAGCAGCAAGGGGAGGGCCAAGAAATCAAGACAGTAAATGCCACCATTACTAGTAACCCAATCCCAAGGACAGAATTCATGCTAGAATGTGAGAGTTGAGTCTCCCTGGCCAGCTTTCCTTCTGGGAGTAATGTCCCAGTCAGAGCCCTGCACAGTGGTATAGCATTTGGTCTGCAGGTGCCTGTAGGTACATGGGGAATGAAATCCAGCCCATGCTGTGCTCTCCAAAACAGGCACAAACACTGACATGCCCAGAGGAAAAGGCACCATCTTATTTTGCCATACGTACCACTTATGTTACCAGCAATCCTGTGCCTGATAGAAAAGATGAAGCAAGTAAAATTATAAAAGCACTTAACTTATTTATACTAACTGTGGGAGTATACAGTGAGAAATAAAACAGGCTCCATAGAACTCAAAAAATTCTCGAGCTCATAGGCTCATGATAGATAATGCTTTTAGTTTACAACCCAACTAACAGTAAGAGCAAACACCTACATAGCACTTATAACAAAAGCAGCACTTATAATAAAAAGAGAGGAAGAGAGGAAAGAGAAGGAAGGAAGGAAGAAAGGAAGGAAGGAAGGAGGGAGGGAGGGAGGAAGGATTCTATGCTATAGAACACGTACTCTTCTAAGAGCTTAAAATACATTACATACTTACAACCTACAGGTACTAATGTTCATTCTTCAGATCAGACAAGTCAGGCTCAGAGAGTTTATGTAACGGGCCAAAGGTCACATAAAGAATAAGTGTCAAAACTGAAATTCATATCCATACAATTGGCAGCAGAGGGCATGCTCTAATGACCATGATCTATGTGCTGCCTCCCAAATCTGACACCTTTCATATAATCCTTTATTCACAGAAAAATCAGACCCCAAATCTCTTGACCTTCCTCTGATGCAGAATGTGCTAGATTATGTGTAGCGCCATTCCAAGTAAATGTTTACCCCATGTATATGTTGTTTCTCACCATAATATCATTAACATGAAGGCAACTAGTAATGGTGCCTGTGCTCTTAAGTCTTAGCTGAACCTTTTATTCCATGTGATCAAATTCAACTGGGTTCCAGAAAGCAGAAATATAGAGAAAGTGATCACAATTGGAATAAAAGAGAATTAAGCAGATTAATTCAGAAAGTCCAACTTCCCATTAATGGACATCACAGAAAAAGAGAAGAGAAAACAGATAAAATGAAAAAAAAAAGGAACAAAGGAGCAGCTATTTCTTTTCCACAAAGACACATATGGGCGAGGTCCCCAAAGTCACTCTGACAGGGAAGGAGAGAGATGGAAGAGGCCTTCTGGCTTTTAACTTCTTCAGCCCAGAAGCCATGCTCAGCTCACATTCCACTGGGCAGAACTAGTTATGTGTTCCCAGCTTAGCTGCAAGGGAAGCTGAGAAAAGGAGAGGAGCATAAGGATATTTGGTGCATACAAATGGTCTCTGTCATACATATCATTTAGTGTAGAATATAAGAAGACAGGCACTTAAGATTATGTAGGTCTCCGAGTAGATGTAGTGAAACTCAAGCAAGTGGAAAGTTCTACCCAGAAATGGCTACCCAATACCATTAGGTTTAGTTTTAAAAAATAACTCTGGCTATCTTGCATATATTTGTAAGGCTTTTAGGAGGAAGGCAAAAATAAAAGACAATTTCATCACTTACAATATTTGTGCTCCTGTTATACTCATTTAACTCTGGACTGAAAGCAAAATAATCAGCTTTTCATCAATACAATATACATGCAGGAGCTACACTTTAATTACAGTACTTTCCAAATAAAGCCTCACCCTGATAATGTGTTCAACAAAGTTCTCCACAAACCTTCTCCTTCATCCTGTTCCATCTTGAGCATATAACTAGAATGTGACTTTTGGAGCTATTTTGCAGTAGTCTAGCTTAGTGGTTCTCAACCAGGGACAAATTTGCCCCCCAAGAAGACATTTAGTATGTCTAGAGACATTTTTGGTTGTCACAACTGGGGAAGGGTTTCTACTTTCATTTAACAGGTTAATTCGAGAGATACTGCTACAATGTATTATATAACATCCTACAACGCCTAAGATAGACTTCACAACAAAGAATTATCTGGCCTAAAATGTTAGTAGTGCCTAGACTGAGAACTCCTGGGCATGATGAAACTTCTACCAACTGGCACTGTTATTTTCCCGCTTTAATTGTCTATTTTTTGAACTGATGATACAGCCTTTAAATTTATCTTTTCTCTCATCTAACTCATATTCTGTAGCAAAATTATTCATCCTGTGCAACCATCTAACATATTTATAAGTTCTTCTCATCATGTCTTCTCATATTGTGATTCTTCTCATCAGTTGGGCTGAAGCAGGAAATCCACAAATTTCCCCACTACAAAGAACTAAACTCCAAATACATTTGGTCTATTCTATTCTGACAGCTGTTGATAATTTAGAAGCTTCAAATTCCTGAAGACACCAAATATATCTTCCAAAGCCATATGGTATTCTCAATAACTTCGCCTTCATTGAAAGACACATACAATGAACTTTTAAATTCTAAAATTCATTCTTAGCCTTTAATAGTACATATTAATAAGTAATTCAGCTTATATAAAACAAATTTCCTTATTTCCGCTTTCAAGACCTTTTTCTCATCTGGACTTTTGGCAAAGCAAAATGTAAGGACACAAAAGTAGGGTAAGAGTATTGATGTCAATTTATGTTAGCAATTCATATTCTGAGTTTCAGAATCATAACATAAGAATGTTTTTCTCCCTGTTTTGACCAAAACACCTAAAAATATTGACCTAGTATTCTCAACAACATGTCCCACCTATTGGGTCTTGAATGCCTGGAATTAATATTGGGTCTTGAATGGCTAGAAATAATTTGACATCTTTCTAAGATTTATATTTTCCAAAATCCATTGACTGACGCATAAAACTTAGGCAAATTGAATAATAGCACATGGAAATGGCTTTGTCAAAGCTTCAAGAGGAAATCTTGCTTAGTTAATAAGCTCCGTGGGTCCTTTCTCCAGAGATGGTTGTTTAAATTGAGGCAAGAGACACCTGGCCAATTCTATTATTGCAATCTTATGATGCTGATTGAGCATCAAGAGGATATCTCAGGAGGATTTTTATCCCTATATCTACTTACTGAGCCACATTACAGCACTCTCAATAACATTCTTGTGTTCTTCATCTCAATCTCAATTTACCTATTTTAGACAGAGATGAATCTGATACTTTTTACTGTAAACTTCTTCCAACTCAGAATTGTTCTCCCTGAGTCTGATCTTTCACAAGTTTGATGGAAACATTATAAAAATGCAAAATATCAATATATTATTAAAATCCCCCTGATTCCATTATTAGTTTTCTGAGATTTAAACAATTTTTATCAGACAAGGATGCACACTCTCACTACTCTTATTCAACATAGTACTGGAAGTCCTAGCCAGAGCAATCGGGCAAGAGAAATAAAGAAAAGGCATCCAAATAGGAAAAGAAGCCAATCTCTCTCTCTTTACTGACAATATAATTCTATACCTAGAGAATTCATAAGACTCTGCCAAAAGGCTCCTGGAACTGATAAACAACTTCAGTAAAGTTTCAGGATACAAAATCAATATACAAAAATCAGTAACATTCTTATACAGCAATAATGTTCAAGCTGAGAGCCAAATCAAGAACACAATCCCATTTACAATAGCCACCAAGAAATAAAATAACTAGGAATAAATCTAACCAAGGAAGTAAAGGATCTCTACAAGAAGAACTACAAAACACTGCTGAAAGAAATCATAGA